TCTCGCTCACTCTCTCTCTCGCTCACTCTCTCTCTTTCTCCCTCGCTCTCCCTCTCTCTCTCTCCCTCACATCTCCTACCCGTTCCAATTTGTTTTGCCTTTTTCTCTGGCAAGGCATTTTTCTTTCTCCTTTCGCCCCCTCCTTTCCTCTCAGTCTTTGTGTACAAGACATCTTTATTTGTGGTTCCCACCCCCTCCATCTCTTTTTCTCCCTCTTTCTTTTTATCTCTCGCCCTGGCGCCTCTTCTCCTTTCTTTTTTTTGTTCTGTAATCTTTCCTTCTTTCATTCCTCCCTTCCTTCCTTTCTTTTTTTTCTTTTGTTCCTTCTTTCTCTCCCTGTTAACTACAACCCACTTTATTTCACACTCTCTGGCCAAGTGATTCTGTTTACTTTTACCCCCTTGTCTGTCTGTCTGTCTGGTCTGTCTGTCTGTCTGTCGGTCTGTATTTGCTTTTCGATCTGTGTAACCTAAACTGGGGAATAAAAAGAGGGGGTTAAATGTTGGGAATAAAGAGTTCAGCCCTGACTGACTTCGTCCGCTCTTTATCTCAAACCAACGCACAGGATGTTCCATCAAAGACGACAGTACTCTCGACACCAATGTGGCAACATCCAGCCCCCTCAGGTCATTTATAGTCCCCACTCTTTGTAAGGTCTACAAAGTTAATGTTGAAGACTTTGTTCTGCTACCTCTTCTTCTGTTGCTGTTGTAAAGAAACCATAATATTGTCAGTTGCGAAACTTTGAGCTCCAAACCCGCGATCTTTCTCAGATTTCAGTTAAATATCATCAGGTACTAATCAGTTGACTTTGTGTGGTTTCATGTGACATAATGTGACAGGACTTTTCAAACTGGTATTCTGACCTTATTATTCTCCCCATCATTTTCGGTGGGCATTTGGAGTAAGCCACTGGCAGACCGGTTTTTCAATATGAACCCTGTACTCAAACTATCAATTTTGAGATTCCCAAAACCCACAAACCCCGAGAACATGTTCTAAATATATTTACGGCGAAAACCTGTAACCATACTAGCAGCTAATAAAATGTTTCCGCAAAATGATATGTGAAAGCTATCAACTTCCACGATAGCAGGGAATGTCAAGTAGTAACAACCTTTTTGCGTATGAACTACAGCTCCAATTTACAGTCATTGAACCCCGGAATACACACACACACACACA